TTTTCTCTTCGAGAAGTCTGCATGCAGACATAGTTCTGTCTTTTTGGCTTGTTCTTGTAGCTTTATTTGCAGGCAAATACTCCAGGAACTGAGTGAATCTTAGTAAATAGTCACCTTCTGAATCCTAGAGTTGCCAATTAGTTATTTAGACTCGAATCATAAATGAATGATGCCCGTGTTGTTGGAAAGATTTAAATCATCAATTGATTATATCCGCTTAATGCCATTGAAACACCAGAGTTAATAATTTTTTGTCATATTGTAATTTTTATTTTGGGATATTTTATTTCATTTTTGGAGTTATTTGGTTTTTAAAATAATTAATATGATATAATCACTGGCTTTTGACCGTTAAAAAGTTTTGTTTTTTTTTCTTTTTTGTTTTGTTTTTTATTTGATCATTTTTTCTTAAGTATCGCCTATATCACTTATTAGAAAGAGAAACTATAAATAACTCTCAAAAAAGACAATACAAAAACAAAAAAAAAATACATTCTTTATAACGATCGCCACAAAAAAAAACTATAAATATAATGTAACAAATTGTATTGATAATATTGTTCCAACTTGATTTGTTTCCAATTGACTGAAAATTGTTATCGTTGCCTGAATATCGATTTCTCGTTCCATTATAACTGTATAAAAAATATTTATATATATATATATATATTTGCATATTCTTGAATGGGCAAGAGGATGACATTTGGGTCTTCGAACCAGGAGAGTTGGCCGGTAGGGCGACAGTTATCGCCCTTAGATCTCCTCCATCCGGTGCTTGGGAAAATATTTAATCAGATTATTAATTACGATAAGTTAATTAAAATTTTGCTGACAATGATGAGAAACAAAAACGTAAAGAAAAAGAAAACATTTATTATTTCCTTATTACAAACTTACGATTGAAACATGAGGGAGATTTTTTAAAAAAATAGCAAATCAAAATTACTATGAAAAACTGCACGATCCTTAAATATGTCTATATATATATATATATATATATATATATATATATATATATATATATATATATTTATATATATATATATATATATATATATATATATATATATATATATATATATATATATATATAAAATATATATATATATATAACAAGGTAAAAAAGACCATGGAAGTCATCGTTCGGGCTATTGTTTCATTGATAGTTGTAGATTTTTTGCCTCAAGTTTAATAAATTGTTTTGCCACTGATTGTTTTAATATATACGGCAATATACTTTATTTCTAGTTATTGAAGCTACAGTCTATTCAGATCTTACTATGTTGAATATCATTATTTTTTCGAATTGTTATATTTAGAAAAAAAAACAGCAGTAGATACATCAATTTGCATTAACTTTTAATAGATTTTTTAAAAAATTAAACATCAATTTCAATTCTTCCATAATAACCTCTATACAAGCGTTGTATTTATGTATGCACTTCATTAAAAAGTGTTTACTCGGCGACCATTCATTATTTTGAGGATTAATATTGATCTTAACTTATATTAATCTCTATTTTTACTTTTTTATTCATAACTTGTTAGCATTTTTTTGAGCAATTTTCTGGGTTGAACGTTTAGTGTCCAATGTTCTACGAGTGGGACTTATTTTAAGAC